GACACATGATATTCTTATTATTAATGAGCACGTACACTGTGCCCCCGCGACAAGATTTTGCGTGTTATGCATTCGACAATTAGATGCGCAAGAAAAAAAATAACATTTTAAGACTATTTGTGATGTATCAAGCAAATAGAGAAAAAAGGAGTAATACAAATAAGCAGCAGCTAAATTTGCACGATGTGCACACTGACCTACCGTTTTGTCCTATGCGCGATAAGCCACCCGGCAAGCGTCAGGAGAAACTTCTCGCGACGTTATACGATAAGCAGCGTTATATTATCCACTACCGCAACCTGCAGCAGTGCACGCGCCACGGTCTTCGTATTACAAAGATTCACCGCGTGCTCCAATTCGCTCAATCTCCCTGGCTCCGCAGTTATATCGAATTAAACACGCAATTTAGAACGCGTGCAACTAATGATTTTGAGAAAAATTTGTACAAATTGATGAACAATGCGGTATTCGGCAAAACGATGGAAAATATTCGAAATCATGTCGATGTAAAACTAGTAACACATTGGGACGGTAGATACGGTGCAGAGGCAATGATCGCAAAACCAAATTTTCACAGTAGAAGTGTATTTTCGGAAAACTTAATCGCCATAGAATTGCGCAAACTCGAGGTGAAATTCAACAAGACAATCTCCGTGGGTATGTGCATACTCGACATATCAAAGGTTTGCGTGTATGAATTGCATCACGAGTACATGTATCCTCTATATCATGACAAATGTAAAATAATGTATACTGACACAGACAGTCTCATTTACAACATCGAATGCGATGATGTATATGAGCACATGAAACGTGATATTGCAAGGTTTGATACGAGCGATTATCCTACTGACAACGCGTACGATATACCGCTTGTAAATAAGAAGGTGCCTGGTTTAATGAAAGATGAAAACAACGGTGCGGTCATGACGGAATTTATCGGACTTAAGGCAAAGATGTACGCTTTGCGAGTGGATGGCAAGAAAGACACGAAAAAGGTCAAAGGT